CAAGGCTGTAAAATGCAGTTTACGATGAAAAATACACAATACGACGCTCGTGTACGTTGCTGTATAGGATGGCATGTATACAACAAAATACGATGAAAATACGACGGTCGTATACGAGCGTTTACCCCAGACAAAAAAGTGTTGTGAAATCCGAAAAAGAATCTTACTCAATTCTTATATAAGATCTTCCATGAAAGTGACAAAAATTCTGCTGAATCTTATAAGAATCTATAAGAAATTGTTAAGAGTCAGCAAAACTGGTGCGTTCGTTATTCTTATCAGATTCTTATAAGATTCTTGTAAGATTCTTATGAAAATATGATCGACTCTGCTGGCATTGACTGAGCTGTTGTAGGATATAAAACTTCGTCATGCTAGTTAAACTTATGATTGCTCAATGAAGAAGTGACCAAATGTTAAGGATTTTTAGTGGTAGATATTGCTCTCTACGTCACAGAAAATAGTGCAAGAATGAACTGCATAATTTGTGCCGTTTGTCAGAAAAGTAAATTACAAATAGAAAAAATGCGCATTCATCACGCTTGAACAGACCACTTCTTCTTTTACTCTTCAATTCAAGCTCTTCAGAAGAGACAGCTTGCTTTTTTGTATCATTGGTAGCCTCTCATTTTATTCCTTTTTCAGCATCATTCGATTTATTTTTCACTGGTTACATTTTTTCAACCATCTTTGTCACACTATACAAAATGGGGATGCTTTTTAGTTTCTACTGTGTAATCTATATACGTTTTTTTACATGTATGGCATTTGTTTTCTTATCACACTTATTTTAATATTTATCATTATGATTTATTAATGAACAATTAACTTACAATGCAAACAAACTGCTCTCTAAAAAGAGAGCACAGACTCAACCTGTTAAGAATTCTTTCTTTCTTATCCATAACTAGTCGCTCCACTCTGCGACGAAACGTTTGTAGAATATAGTGGAACGTTGTCTCTATCGATTGATATACTTTTGAGGAGAAACCGACGATGTGCTTATTGGGAAAAGAACATCGTTGTAAAAGACGTTCTAGGTGGGATCATGTGTATTAAACCATAGAAATAAGGATTCAGGAGAGACAGGTAGAAAAGTGTCGCATAGCGAATGAATTTCACATTTTTTCATCCGTTTCCAATGTTGCTTTCACTTAATGACCACATATTTATTAAAGTGAATTTTTGCAAATAGTTCAAGTGATGAAGATAAAAAATTGCTGTAGTTATATAGAAGAATGTTTTATAGGAAACTAGTAGTTAGGTCTGACTCTTAGTGTGTGTCTTTTTAGGAAGAGATTTGTCATTTGTCTGTGAATATGCACGGGACTTGCTCTCGAAAACAAATCGAAAAGGATAAACATAATGATCAACTATAATTTCATTTTTCATTTCTCTACATAGTCTCGTTTGAATAGTGAAGGAGTGACAGTGAAAAGAGTGAAAAATTCTGAGTTTCAAAGCAATATTCCAGTCAGAAGACAAAATTGCGTTGATGTTTCGATTGCATTTTTTAGGACTCTTTGTGAAACCAAGAACAACCACGACTATCCGTCGATCAACGCTTATGTCAAGTACCGAACGACTCTCGTCGGTCTGCGCATGAGTGGTTCAGCGTCGTCAGAAACAACGCATGTCATTCGTAGTCGTTCTTCGTCGCCCTTCTATCTCACTCATAGTGGATCGAGTTCAGCTAATACACAAATGAGCATCGCATCTGATCTTATTCTTCAAAGTTCGGGTTCAAGCGATCTCCTGTTGAAAGGTCAAATTCAAGGGAATGCACAAATCACTATTTTGGGTTTAGGGTCATTGAATGCCTTCGAGTATCCGATCGGCATAGCGGACGTCAGTGTGACAGGACGCGGAGATGCCTACATCAAGAGCGAGCAAGGAATCCCCGCATATGCTGGTGGAAGGGCCAGTATTGTATACCAAGGACCATTATTAAGTAAAAAGACGCATGAAGCCGGTAAGATCAAGTCATATTTTCACACGGAAGACAATAATGAGACTTCAAATTGGTGGTCAGGAAGCAACCAGATCGTCACGAAAAATTGGGTACCGATGCTGTTTTTGTGTAGAATTGCTTTCTTTCTCTGCTAGTAGTTCGTTCTGAACTAATCATTTTCTTGTATAGTACATGCATGTACTATACAAGAAGAATCAACTAAAATCCGTCATGCTAAGATGAGGCCATGCGTTAGCTATCTATTGTGAAAAATCGGTACTGCAGCGCTAAGACGGGATCTTGCCTCACTCTAGTAATAGACCAGCGAAGATTTACGTACGATAGTTTTTTATGAATGAGCCAAATGAGAAGGTTCACTTTATGATTGTATTGATTTCCCGTAATAGTACCTGTACAGTGAGAGATCCAAACTTTCTCACTGCTCTTCTCTAAACACTTGTTTGTTTTCCTGTTTCTAGCCTATTTAAAAGCAAATCATCCACATGAAAATATTAAACGTTCAGAATTCAGTGGCGGTATCTCTGCCATGTGTCGTCGAACAAAACATAAAACAAAAATTAATCGAGAAAAACTACGTTCATTCGATAATATAGACCGTCAGGGGCATGTACAAGATAATGAACCCTATCATGATGGCATGAAACGAACTGAAGACGACAATGACGAAAAATCAACAAACGGAGATAGTATTGATGATGATGATGACAATAAAAGTAGAGAATTTTGAATTTAAATAGAGCTTTTTATCTGTCTTTCTGTATTTACTCTTGCGTAAGTTTCTTCTTTGTTTGATGAATAAAGTGTTTATCTGTTTTTCTGTGATTAGATATTATTAGTTTTTTACATTTGGTTGTAGAACTGTTTTTTTTTTTTATTTTTTTGATTAGCTTTGCTTGCGTGACCTTACTATTGTTGATTCGATGCTCAAGAACAGATATCTTTTAATTGATGTCATTTGTTTGTTTATGATTTGATCGTACTGTGAAATACAGAGTAAACTTTTGTAGAGTAGATATCAATCTTTCTTATTGCATATGAAGCAGTTATACCAGCTGGATATTTAGCGGAAAAACCGAAAAGTAGCAACGCGTGCAAAAATGACGATTTTTGCTAACAGAGAAAAGTATTCGGAAGTGCCATATTCAGCAGTTCAATAGCAGACGGTGCTATTTTAGGCTTATAAGTTTTAATGAATGATACTTCGAACTGTGTTGTTAATGTCGAATAATGATTGCCGCCGAATCAACATGAAACAAAGAGTCGCCGGTCCCTATTCTGGTCGGTTTTTTGTCTAGGTTTTTGTAGGATCTTCTCTTAAAATTGTGTTGTAGATGACTTCAAGACGATCGTGGTTTCGAAGCAGAAAGAAGAACAGCGCTATATTTCATTCGTTGTCAAATAATGTGCTACTCACTCATCTGGCTCAAGTGCTAAGTAAATATATTCTGAACTGAATAACTGAGTTTTAAATATTTTCTTAACTGTTGTTATTTGAAACTTTCCCTGTTTCCACTAGAATGGAGTGAAAGTTATTGCCTTAAGAATGAAAAAAGTTCCCTGCTTCTCCTCATAAGATACTAAGACTTAGAGAAGACACTTAGAGTTCCGTCCATGGCTGAAGAGACCTTACAGGAAAACGCTCCCTATATGTAAAAAAGGGACAAAATTCCTCACACCTACTCCTTTCGCCTATGTAATGCCTCTGAGATGTGAAACACTTAGAAAGAAGTTTCAGTTAACTGCAAGCCTACAACTAATAGGCCTTTTCGGTTTCTGTTAGATACTGGTAACAGTTTGGTACCAAATGATGACGAAGAATCCATTGATTTTCCAGTGAACACTTCTCGCTCAACGAGTCCAAGTGAGGCAAACGATTCTCCTGCGCCGAGTCTACAACCGATAATAAACACGTCTTTAGCTGACAACATACACCGTCGATCGGATTTTACAGCACATGACATCGCAGCATCGCAAGTTATTATGAAAGTTCGACGATGTTTGAACAATCAAGATATGGATTACTTATGTAAGTGGACAAATGCACTTCAAGTTAAAAATCTGCCAAAATGTTGGGCATCCATTGTGAACAAAATTAACAAGTTTAGTAACTTGAATATTAAATCAAAACCTTATCGGATATGTTCACAATGTAGTTCAACTAACAAACTAATATGTACAAAGTGTAAACATTGTCAGTGTGAAAAATTATTTGATTTTTACCAGTATCCATTAATTCCACAAGTTCAGCATCTTTTATTGATACCAAATAATTATTCAAAAATGAAACATACACGTTTTGTTAATGCCGAGACACTTTGTAAGAAAATAAAGTGTTTAGTTTGCGCTCGTACACTTGCTGAACGTTGTTTTTTTCGTTCTAGATAACACAACATATGGAACAATATTAAATGAAAACAAAGAAAATTCATTTACAATGTTACTGAACAGTGATGGCATTGTCACACCGAATAAACATTTAGCTTTATGGCCTGTCATTTTGATGGTAAACGAAATTCCGTTTCCGTTTCGTCGCTACACAGAAAATGTACTATTAGCTGGTGTTATTCATGCTCCCAAAAAACCTACTGCCGCTGTGATCGAAACGGCTTTAGACCTAATTACAGAAGAATTATTAGAACTTGAAAATGGTCTTAAATTCTATGTACCCGAATTGAGAACAACAACAACATTTCAGTTTTATTTGATAGCCACCTGCAATGATAAGCCGGCAGAATCCTCAATAGGGAATATGACAGCCCACAATGGATTATATGGATGCAAAAAATGTTTTGCAGAAGGTATGTCACTATGAAGAGAACTATTTATCTAAATATTCGTCTGTTTTTTTTATTTATAGGCGAGGTTTATCATGGTCAAACTGTTTACAAAAGAAATGTGAAGCGGTTTAATATACGTGTTTATCCATACGAAATTGCCGAATTACGTACATCAGGTATGGTGTTTTTCCTTCTATCGTTGTTTTGAAACTTCCTTCTTTCTCCTTTAGACGAATATAAAAAGGTTATTGTTGACATAGAAAATGAAGAAATTGAACCACCATCAATGGGTCATTATGGTGAGCTCTTTTTTTTCAAAAAATATCTTGAGTCTTGCCATAGACTATCAGTAATGAAAGGCTTGTTAGGTGTACATATATGGTCCCATGGGTCAACACCTCCCTGAAGCCTATTTTAGTCAATGTTACAAGTACAGAACAGAAGAATTAGCAATGCCTAGATATTTAAACACTTTCTCAAAAAATTGTTATGAGTTTCTGAAAAACAGCTTTATCAGCGCAGACCTATGGTTTTAACGTGAAATCCCTCTTGAGGACAATACAGAGTAATCCCCTTAGCGTGTCTCAGGACATAATGACACGCTCATGAGCCATGCTCAAACAGTTTGGCGTCATATGTATACACATTTCGATGCAGGAAGAGTGTGGGATAAGTTTTCATGCTTTTCTCTTTAAAACGATCCCGTCCTTAGAAACATATATGATTGATTTTGATGACGAGAGTGAAACTTAAGAGTTTTATACTCTACCAAAGTGACTGCGATGACAATCTTTTTTCTCTTTTTAGGTCGTTGTGTTTTAACGAGATTGAAATATTTCAATTACGGCGAATCTTTCTTAGTGGATACATTACACGGCGTTTACAGCGGTGTTTTCAAAAAACTGTTAACATTATTTTTCGACAAAACACACCGTAAAGAAAAATGGTCGTTATTTCGTCGTATCGAAGACATCGATATTGGCCTGTCGTTAATTACAATCCCATCAACAACAACAAGACGTTTTAGGGGTCTCAAAAACTTTATGAAATTCAAAGCCAATGAATATCGATCGTTGTTTCATTTTGGTGCTTCAGTATTTTCTGAATTTCTTAAAGAACCATATCGCTCAAATTATTTGCAGTTTGTGACTGCAATCAATTTGGCATCTGAAGATCATATTACAAGTGAAAATATGGATCTGATAGAAAAATTATTAGATAGTTTTGTGAAACAATATCAACAGCTGTATGGATTGAGACATATGCAAGCGAATGTCCACTCCATGCTGCACATCCATCAGACAGTCCGTTTTATAGGACCATTATTTATTTGCTCTACATTCAATTTCGAAAGTAAGCATACTTGCTCTTCCTTGTGATTTTCTTTCTGAACACATGTCTCTTTTATTGTAGGCATTGGGCATGATTTAGTATCAATGATTCATGGCACCACCGAATATGGCAAACAAATGATCATGAACCACATTTATTATCGAGAAGCAATAATAACGACACAACAACCAGATTATCCAGCACCATTGTTAAACTTCGTTGAAGATATTATGTGCCGGAAAAAAGTACTCAATCTGTCCTACACAAAAATGTTCAATTATCATCTATCAAGACCCGTCGATATAAATTTATATGAAAATGAATTACAACGTATTCATTTATTTTTGAATAACAAGCCTTTCCAGCTACATCATTCAATAGTTGTCAATAATTGTACCGATAAAACCAATTTATCATCCAAAAATCCTAAATTCAATGACAGTTGTGTATCATTTAGATTTGGTGCTGAGGCTCGGTTTGGTCTTATACGTGCTGTTATCTCAACCAATGTTAAAATTTTACTTCTAATTGAGCAATTAACTGACAACGATAACAAACTTCGTTTTCGTCACAACAATGTCGTTTCAACAGTGCGCAATATATTTTACTTAAAACGATCACAACTATATCATCTACGTTCTCCCAATGATCTGATACAAAAACATTGTTATCGTTTTCGTCCGAACAATGTAATTCATGTGTTTAAATTTAATAATTTGAAGGATAGTAGCTGATCTTTGTCTTGCATTTAACTTTTGTCATTATTTTTTTGTAATTAGAACAAATATCTTAAAACGCAGTTGTCTATAGAGATCTATCATTAAAAGGGACTAGAAAAATATGAGTAATTTGGCAAACGGAAATAAGAAATTATTTTATTTCATAAAAAATCAGTGAAAAAATTTCTCTTTCTGACTAGTTCGTTTTTGTGACCGGTTAGAACTAGTCACCAGTCACCAACTAGTCATTTATTTTGAGATTGCCCAAAAGAGAACTAGTTAGTGATTGGAGTCACTTCTTGGCACTATGACTAGGCAGAACTGGAGTCACATGGACACAAGTGATGGGTACAGTGACCAGTCATTTTTGAGCTAGTCAGCAACTAGTCAAAAGAGCGAACTAGACTACAACTAGTCAAAAGAGCGAACTAGACAGCAACCAGTCAAAAGAGCGAACTGGTCAGTGACTGGAGTCACTTTTTGGCACTGTGACTAGTTAGAACTGGAGTCACAAGCGTTTTTATGACTAGTCCATTTACCCGTTTTTCGCCTACATGGGTGTATAATCATCAATCATAAACCATTCGAATGTTGTTAAATAAATTTTAACGACTTTTTTCGTATTTTGTTTATTTGTATCATTTAAAATGGCATTAATATGATTTTTTAATGTAATTAGACGATCAATCATC